ATTGAGATGTCCTCTAATTGAGATGTCGACAAGGCAATTTGTATTTTGTTCCACGCTGTTTCTAAGTGCAGTGGAATTGACTCATCCTAATCTAGCTTATTTAGCCAAAGTTTCTGCAATAGGATCTTTCCTTTTATAAGTATAGGGCTTAATAAGCCCTATATAACAGCTTAGATGTCACCGAAAGAATGTTCCGCTTGTTCGCCCATTGACCTATGACTGAAGCGTCAATTTCAAATTTAAATATATCTTCGTAAGGAACCCAAGCGATTCCTAATGCTTTTGTCAGATCTGAGTCCGAAAGTGTTATTGGCTTAACCGTGCTCTCGGACGCAGTAACTTCAGGCGAGTTTTAAAACCACTTGCTTAATTTAAACCCAGCTTTTTGAAGAACCTGAGTTACTTCAGACTTAATTGGCTTTAGCTTTCGACGTCGACGTAAAAGTCGGACCCCATAATTTTGGCTCAACCACTCAATTCACTCAACCTCTTCAAACTCTTTATGGCCAGGAATGGGTCTGGCGCAGTGTCATATGTATCAGTGTTAACCTTGCACAGTTTCAAGGACTCTAATGGGTCCTACTTCAACACTATCAACTGGTATCACCTATCGGTTTAATTTACCATTACTTGGGGATACATCATTTTTGTCGGATATCAGAGCGAATCTATTTATTCGGAACCGAATAAATTAGTAGTGATTTAGTAGGTAGGAAAATTAAATTAGTAAGAAATTAGTAGTGATTTCGGATGTTGTTTCCTCAGCTGTCGAATATAATGAAGCCTTTAAGAAAATAGTCGAAATAGTCCAAGAGCACGAGTATCAAGATAAAATAGAAAAGATCCGAAAAAATTTAACTGTTAGCCCTAGTCTACAAAAGCTAAATCCCTTTTTACCCGAATCATCTGATGCTGAGCTTACCTTTTTGTTTTTGCGGGTTGAGGGGCAACTAGCTAATGCTCCTATATCGTACGATGCCAAGTTTCCAGTATTGTTGACAAAACGCTCTCAATTTGTTCAGAGCTACGTCCGATACTTGCATGAGTCGAATTTTCATGTGGATCCACGAGCAGTTGTGAGTCTTTTGCGGCAGCGCATATGGATCGTAAATGCGCAGGAAGTCCGCATGCCCGGAAGGAAGTACGGTCATGCATAAGCTGCTTTAAATGCAAGCCTCGTCTAATGACTCAAATTATGAGAGATTTACCCTTAGATAGAATTCGTGCTCTCCGGCCATTCTCCATATGTGGTGTTGATTTTTGTGGCCCTATTGTGAGAGATAAACTAATCTCATTTAACAAAATCTTAATGACCAAACAATAAGTATACATCAATGTCCATATATATGTTTTTGTTTTCAGAAACGAACCGGTCACATTATGTTGACAATTGTGCCTTGTGAGTTGTTTCTAATTGTAAACGGGTAAGTTTATGGTCATTTACTTCAAATTACCTCTCTGAAGTTGTTATAAGCATGTCCGTTTGTCTGTCTGTTTCTACGCGATCTAGTCTCTCAGTTTAGTGCTATCGACTCGGAACTTTGCACATATCCATCTTTCCTTTGAACGCAGTATATACCTCGGAATGTTCTGAAACTAATTGAGAGAATTTTCAGAAAATCCGCTTTTTTCGCCAGTTACTCAGATGTCCTCGAAGACTATTCGAGATAGATCTATCCGATTTGGAACTTGGACTTGGATTTTAAATTCAGTTAATATTGGGAAATGTTTAAATGCCTAACTATTTCAACTCGACTTTAGCCGTCCTATCTTGATTTATTTACATCAGCATTTTACAGCTTCTTATTTATTTCATTTCAGCTTTCACTAATTAATTAATAATCATCAAAAATATCATAATTTTTTTTATTTTCCGGGAGGAAGTATACGATTTTTATTTATTTCTTGGGGACCTTCTGCAGGATTTTCCTCCTTAAATACCGCAGAGCTTTCTTGAAAGTTTTTTTCTACCATCTCCGAAAAACTCCAATAGGAGTTATATGCAAAAAATACCCAATACCTTCACTAAGATTTCTTTTCCATGAATTCGTGTGGTATCTCCCTAGCCCTTAACCACTAGCCCGTAGAGGAAAAAATGACAGGTAACCGATGAATTGGACATCCTATACAAAACTCAACGATACTCATAAACGGTTACTAGGTAATTTCCTAAAAGTAAGCGGATATATGTATGTACATACATATGAGATGTATTAAAACTTATCTCAAGGCGGAATCTCAAGGGTTATCTCCAAACGAAAGGTGAATTAAATCGTTATACTTCATTTGGAGAAAAAAAATGGTTTTTGTAAAACTAAATTTATTTTATGTGTTCAAAATTATTTTTTAACAAAATAATGCACGTTTAGATAGCTTTATTGGTTATAAAGTTATGAGTCAGTTAAAAAAGTTTTTATCCCAAACTGATAGACTTTTGATAAATGCTTTGCCAAAATTGTTAAATTAAAACAGGGGTGGGCACGAAGCTTAAAAAAAAATTAAGAGTGTACTGGTGTGAAAATCTAACTTCTGCACTGAGTGAATCGAAGAGTGCCCTGGGTATACAATTATTTAGGACCCATATAAATTTTATTTATTATAAATTATCGGCTTGCAGGTTTGTCTCCGGTATTTTCCCGTAAGAGGTTTTTTTTATTTGATTGGTGTATTAAATAACAAGAAAGCAAAGCTAACTTCGGGCGGAGCCGAAGTTGATATACCCTTGCAGTTAAAACCGGATATAATTGCCCGATCCTTATGATTCATAATCATAATAAAACCAATTAATTACAATAAAAAATCTAAAAAAAAGTCCCAAGCTTCTATCTTCAAAAACACGAAAGTTGATATTTCTACCAAATACCATTTCCGATCGTTCAGTTATATGGCAGCTATAGGATATAGTCGGCCGATCCTAATGAAATTTCGTAGGTTGGATCAACTGACCAAAAATATAATCTGTACCAAGTTCCAGCTTCCAGCTATCTTCAAAAACACGAAAGTTGGGTCATTTCCGATCGTTCAGTTTTATGGCAGCTATAGGATATAGCCGAAGGATAATCCGAAATGAAATTTAACATGTCGTAATTTGTTGCCAAAAGTAACTTTCGTGTCATTTGAACTCTCTAACTCTAAAAACACCAAAGTTATACCATTTCCGATCAATCAGTTATATGGCAGCTATAGAATATAGTCGGCCGATCCGGGCCGTTCTGACTTATATACTGCATGCAAAGGAAAGATGGGTGTGTGCAAAGTTTCAAGTCGATAGCTTTAAAACTGAGAGACTAGTTCGCGTAGAAACAGACAGACAGACGGACCGACGGACAGACGGACAGAGGGACATGCTCATATCAACTCAGGAGGTGATCCTGATCAAGAATATATATACTTTATAGGGTCGGAGATGTCTCCTTCACTGCGTTGCACACTTTTGGACAAAATTATAATACCCTCTGCAAGGGTATAAAAATAGTGGAATGGAATGATCGATGGAACGATCTAAATAATTAGTCCTAATTCGTTGAAAAATTTTGAGTTTGTGGGATTAGAGCTGGAAATTAATCGATGGCACTATCGATACCATCGATGTTTCTTAAATTTTCGAAACATCGATGGTTCTTAGGCCACTATCGATTATTTTTATTTTATTTGCGCATTGAGGGCAACTTGTAAGTAAAATTGGTTAATTTTATTTTTAATTTTATTTTATTAATTTTTTTATCACAATTAGTGAAATGTACATGGTATCTGTCTAAAAAAGTTTTATGCGTGCCAGCATCTTCCTGCGCTTCAGAGCGAGCGTTCAGCAAAGCTGGAAAGATTATCAGGCATGCTCCTGTTTTCACTTTCGGTTTTCGTTTTCGTTTGAGAACGAAAACGAAAAAATTGGTGCTCCCGTTTTCACTTTCACAAGATTTTTTCGAATTCAAAAACGAAAAAATTTGTCTTGCCCAAATGAAAAGTAAATGCCTTTTTCTATATTAAATCGGATCTTATTTGCAAAAGGAAAAAAAGTAGTTGACTTATTGGTTTATTTTCGTTCTATTAAGACCCCTAGAAGATCAATTAGGCTTGTAGTTATTTTTAAAACGAGTAATTTCTGACCCCACCTCAAATTCGGATATCAAATTTTGCCGCCGGCAACAACAATTTTCGTTTTGGTGAACGACCGATAAGTTTGACACCATAAGTTATCGCCTAAGCTGCCATACTTTTAATAGAATAAAAAAGCAAGTTAAAAATACTTGTATAATCAAATGGATGGCGATAAATTTGTTGAAATTAGGTAAAATATGTTTTTTAAAAATTAATTAATTTAATTTAATTAGTTATGTGCTAAAAGTGTATAAAAAAAATTGTTGAAAACACCGGAATGAAATGAAAATGAAATCCATTGAAAAGGTGGCATCCCCTTAATTTGTGGGAAACAAGTGATTGCCTTTGAAAAACTGTTTTTTTTAAATGTGAGTAAAAAAGCTTATTTTTATAGAAAACAATAATACTAATATATTGTTTGCAGGGGAAAACACAAATCATCATATCAGGATGAAGTTTTTCTGAATTTTATGCAGAGCAACGAAAGTTTGGCGCGTGGATTCGCCAAAGGCGATCGTGTGGCTGCAGAAGCTAAATGGAGCGAGCTTGCCGGTGCGTTGAACGCAATTGGGCCTCCAATTAAAGATGTTGCGGGATGGAAAAAGGTATGAGTATCCCCAGAATTATGACAAACTAATATATTATAATATTACATTCAAGGTTTGGTGCGATTGGAAGGCCAATATTCGAAAAAAACATTGCCCAAAATAAGGCAGAGGTCAGGGCTACGGGCGGGGGTCCTTACTGCCAGCAACCGCTGACAGCCATGGAGGAGGACGTGGCAAAGCTCTGCGGGATTTTTGAGATGGTGGAGGGAGCACCAACCACCATTATAGTAGAAGAGGTGGCTAAGGAAAAATAGATTTTAATAACTGCAATGAATAATTTGTTTATTTAATTTGTTACATTGGCAGAGATAGAGCAATTTCGTCGCGTACAGATGGTTGGTCATCATTTCCTTCAATGTCGTTATCATTTATAGCCTGTTTAATATCCTCAAATTGAAAGTCGTCACCTATTGACAAATTCCGTCTTCTACATATGTTGTGCAAAGCACGTTACGTTACGTTATAAATTTAATAATAATACGTAATAATAATACGTTAATAATTTGGCAGCAAAAAATGGGCTGATAATTTAAGCATCGTTGTAAACAACGGAAACGGCTTTTAAGAACACCAATTGTTCGGTCTATTATGTTTCTGGCTGCATCATGTCTTAAATTAAATCGATGCTGATGCGTCCCCATCTCTGCGCTCCTGTAGGGAGTTAACACAAAACTCTCCTGTGCGTAGCCAGAATCTGCCAAAACAAAATATTCATTTATTGTTCTCGACAAATATTCCTTGGCGCTTGAATGATTCCAAATGAAAGAATCATGACAAGATCCAGGGTGCGTCGCATCAATAGCGATAATCTCCATATTATAGTTGCAAACCTGTAGGTAAAAGTAAAATCTTAACGTAACTATAACCAATTTAGACATTCTACTTACAACCATGGCGTTCATGCTGTAATAGCCCTTTCTGTTAAAAAAACAGAGGTATTATTTAGAGGTTTCACTATTTTTATATGAGTTCCATCCACGCAGGCGACTATTCTTGGCAGTTGATGTTTGCTAAAGAAGTATTCGCTAGATTTCCGCATTTGCTGGCTAGACATCTGAAGGCGAATTGTGTCCTGACAAAGAAGCCTGTTCAGCAACGGAATAAATATGTGGAGAATTTTCCCAAATGTGCTTCGTCCTATATTTATATGGTGGTCCTTGGCGATTGAGAACTGATAACATCCAGTAGCAAGATATCGCAATACAGAAGCCAATTGCATAGAGTGAGACAGTGTGGTTACTTTTAAATGTGGCTTGACTGTCTCCAATATTTTTTTAAAAGTGTCTTTATCAATCCTAAATGATTGGACAAATCTGCAATAAACATAAATTAGAGGCAAAATTTGAAATGGGGTAAATGTAACTTACCGGTCGTCAGACATATTAAAAACACATGTATTACATCTTAATTGCTTAGATTTTCTTAAGTCAAATAACTTTTGCTTTCTTTTGGCTTCGAAAGATGCATCTGAAAATAAGAAAGGCATTTTTTCGCGTTGTTTGCTGCTAACCAAACCTCAAATCAGCTGTTTCGGCAGCAAGAAATGATGAGAAATGAAACGTTTCGATAGCAAAACGATAACTAAAAACTTGTGAAAACCGGAGCACCCAAAAACGAAAATCTCGGTTTTGGTCCCAAAACGAAAACGAAAACCGAAAGTGAGAACCGGAGCATGCCTGTATATCTGACAGGAGATGCGCCTTAAAATTAAACATTGTTGATCAATTAATGTTTTTAAATAAGAATCTCAATCTCTAAATAAGCTCTGACCTCAAACAAAAAACTTTATTGTTATTTTATTTTTTATTTGAAAATTTATTTATTTTTATTATTTTATATTTATATGTCCGTCAAACTAGCGTCGCTCAGTTAGCGTCGAAGTGGAGCGGTGGAATTGGAACACAGCAACGAATATTTTGTTTCTAAATTATTTCCCTATTTAGCCACTAAATTTAATCAAATAAACATTAGAATTGGTAATGTCCGTCAAACTAGCGTCGCTCAGTTAGCGTCGAAGTGGAACGGTGGAATTGGAACACAACAACGAATATTTTGTTTTTCAATTATTTCCGTATTTAGCCACTAAATTTAATCAAATAAACACTAGAATTGTTAAGAATTGAATAAACTATTGTTGTTTCTTACTTTGAGCGGGCTCTTCACTCTTTAAGTAGCTTAAAAATGGGGTTGAAAAATTTCCCCTACATTGTATTGAGCAGTATCTCAGAAATAAGAGGATGCGCCATTAAGCGCGATACACCAGCTTATAGACCATTCTTTTGAGAATATGCCCTGAAAATTTCATTAAAATCGTTCCCTACGTTTTGGAGCAAATCGACTAAAGGTGGACCAACCCGGATAACAGCCCATACAAAAATGACCCCAAAAAATTGTTTTTAAAATTGTGAAGCTCCAAGAGGATGCGCCAATATGCACGGTAGTGGTGTTGATGTAGGACCTTTTCAAGTATGTATGGACCAAAAATCATACAAATCGTTCCCACAGATTTTGAGAAAATCGAATTACAGTTTCCCATATAATTTGAACTAATAAGAGGAGCGCCAACCAGTGAACCGGAACCAGTCCGCAAAAAGTTCATTGAACTAGTTTAAAAATACTATATGGCCTCTTATAGACTTATTAAGTCCTTCACAGAGGATGCGCCATTATGCACGGTATACCGTTGAAAAGCTTATTTTATACAGAACATTATAAGAAAACTTTTATTTAAATCGCTTCCACAGATTTAAAGAAATCAAGTCCCGAAAATTTCAGACCCTGATTCACCAACACTGGCCATTAACAGCATCACATATTTCTGACCTGCCTAACACGGCGCTAGCCGTTATGGAATTTGAATGCCCCCCTAGCTTTTTTTTAAAGAGGATGCGCCATTATGCACGGTATACCCCGAGAAAGCTAATTTTTAGCCCGTTCGAATGGTACCAGTGCCATTAAAATCCTTTCCACAGATACTTAGAAATCAAGTCCCGAAATTTTCGGGACGTGGTTTGCCAATACTGGCCATTATCATTTTTCCGTGTTTGCACGCTGCCCAACACGGCAGCCGCCACAATGAATGTTTTCCTTTTTTTAAAGAGGATGCGCTATTATGCACGAGAAAGCTAATTTTTAGCCCGTTCGAATGGTACCAGTGCCATTAAAATCCTTCCCACAGATTTAAAGAAATCAAGTCCCGAAAATTTCAGACCCTGATTCACCAACACTGGCCATTAACAGCATCACATATTTCTGCGCTACACTTGATTTCTTTAAATCTGTGGGAGCGATTTAAATAAAAGTTGTCTTATAATGTTATGTATAAAATAAGCTTATCAACGGTATACCGTGCATAATGGCGCATCCTCTGTGAAGGACTTAATAAGTCTAACAGAGACCATTTAGTATTTTTAAACTAGTTCAATGAACTTTTTGCGGACTGGTTCCGGTTTACAAGTTGGCGCTCCTCTTATTAGTTCAAATTATATGGGAAACTGTAATTCGATTTTCTAAAAATCTGTGGGAACGATTTGTATGATTTTTGGTCCATACATACTTGAAAAGGTCCTACATCGACTCCACTACCGTGCATATTGGCGCATTTTCTTAGAGCTTCACAAATTTAAAAACAATTTTTTGGGGTCATTTTTGTATGGGCTGTTATCCGGGTTGGTCCACCTTTAGTCGATTTGCTCCAAAACGTAGGGAACGATTTTAATAAAATTTTTAGGGCACATTCTCAAAAAATTGGGCTATAAGCTGGTGTATCGTGCTTATTGGCGCATCCTCTTATTTTTGAGATAATGCTCAATACAGTGAAGGGCCAATTTTTCAAACCCATTTTTAAGCTACTTAAAGAGTGTAAAACCCGCTCAAAGTAAGAAAAAACATTTACTTGATTAAATTTAGTGGCTAAATACGGAAATAATTGAAAAACAAAATATTCGTTGCTGTGTTCCAATTCCAACGTTCCACTTCGACGCTAACTGAGCGACGCTAGTTTGACGGACATTATATTTATTTACTTTTAAAACATCGATGGTCCCAAACATCGATTGTTTTCCAACTCTATGTGGGATAAAAAGTATTTGAATGCTAATTACCACGAAAAATTTTGGGAGACATGTTTTTAACAAACACGAAAATACGGCTAAGATAACAGAAAATGTATTATGTTATCTTTAGCATACACTGGAAAGAAAAACAATTTTTGTCGTGGAAAATATGCCAAAACTCAATATTAGCCAAAAAGATACGTATTGTATTTTTATATATTTTTTTCTGGTATTAATCGATTTAGGTGAGCATTTCTTTTTGAATTATTCTCATCTCTAACTTTAAATACATAGATGTGGCAAAAAATGTAAGATCATTTGCCTATTAAAAAGTAATAGGGAAATTATGGCAGAAACGTTAATTCTAACATTGTTAGTTTGTGTTATGCTTGTGGGGTCTTATATTGCAGGCAGCATACCCATGTTAATGAAATTAAGCGAGGTTTGTACACATCAAATAATAGGGTTGGCTTTCAAATAAAACGTTTGTCAAGTGGGTTTTCAAACCATTTCTTTTTTTTAGGAAAAGTTAAAATATGTCACGGTTCTTGGTGCTGGATTATTAGTGGGTACTGCTTTAGCTGTCATTATTCCGGAAGGTATTCGGTCATTGTACGAGGATAATGGACGAACGCAACAGTTAATACATGAACCTGACCATACGCAGACCATTGGACTGTCTCTTGTACTTGGCTTTGTTTTCATGATGATGGTAGACGTGTCGCAACAGAGAAGCAATATCGGAAACGACAACAAAAATTCTGCTACTTTGACTCTAGGGTTGGTAGTGCATGCTGCAGGTACTATTACTCACATTTGAATGAGTATTTCTCTCTTCGTTCAATTTACCTCATAAGATTCACATATGTAATACAATTTAATTTTTTGTTGTTTAGCGGATGGAATTGCTTTGGGTGCCGCAGCAACAACGAGTCACCAAGACGTTGAACTAATCGTTTTTTTAGCTATAATGCTGCATAAGGCACCAGCAGCCTTTGGCCTAGTGACTTTTTTATTGCATGAGAAAGTGGATCGGCAAAGAATTCGGCGACACTTGGCGTTATTTTCATTATCGGCACCTCTATTGACGCTTTTGACTTTTTTTGGAATAGGCCAAGAACAGAAAGAAACTCTAAATTCTGTTAATGCTACAGGAATAGCTATGCTGTTTTCAGCTGGAACGTTTCTATACGTCGCTACTGTGCATGTACTGCCGGAGCTCACCCAAGGCGGAATCAAACAGACTGGACAGCATGACTACCGTTTGCTTGAGGAATCTCGTGATGTAGCCACAAATGACGTAAACGTAACTCATAGTCTGCAATCATTGAATTATAGCGAACTAGTAATTATGATATGTGGAGCCCTATTGCCTCTAATCATAACCTTTGGCCATAAGCACTAGGATTAGGTTAAAAATGAAAAAGCGTTTCTTTTTGTAAATACATGTTTTCTGGTTTCATACAGAAACAAGGCTTCACGATTTGTTCTTACATTTAAAAACGCTATTTAAAGCTACTTATAATAACTAGTTATTTAACTGTGCTTCATTTTCGAAATAGTTATTTCTTTAATATCGTATAGGTTAACATAATGATCCATTATTTTGGTTGGTACAAATGTTATATCCAATTGTTTTTATTATTCCAATATGAATAAAAATATTTTTCTTTTAATTAAATGAAATTGTATATTAAACTTACGTTTTTTTATACCCTTGCAGAGGGTATTATAATTTTGGTCAAAAGTTTGCAACGCAGTAAAGGACACATCTCCGACCCTATAAAGTATATATATTCTTGATCAGGATCACCTCCTAAGTTGATATAAGCATGTCCGTCTGTCTGTTTCTACGCAAACTAGTTTCTCAGTTTTAAAGCTATCGTCTTGAAACTTTGCACACACCCATCTTTCCTTTGCACGCAGTATATAAGTCGGAACGGCCGGGATCGGCCGACTATATCCTATATATATAACTGATTGATCGGAAATGGTATAACTTCGGTGTTTTTAGAGTTAGAGAGTTAAAACTTTACGTGAGAGTTTTTTTGGCAAAACAATATGACATGCCAAATTTTATTAGGATCGGCCGACTATATCCTATAGCTGCCATAAAACTGAACGATCGGAAATGCCATAACTTTGGTGTTTTTAAAGTTAGGGAATTGGGATTTTCCGTGGATTCTATTTTTGACAAAATAATACGACTTGACAAATTTCATAAGGATCGGCTGACTATATCCTATAGCTGCCATACAACTGAAAGATCGGAAATGCCATAACTTTGGTGTTTTTAAAGTTAGGGAGTTGGGATTTTCTACGGGTTTTATTTTTGGCCAACTGATCCAACTTACCCAATTTTATAAGGATCAGCTGACTTTATCCTATTGCTGCAAAATAATGGATTGATCGGAAAGGCCATGGTTGTTTCTTAAGTAAGAAAGATGGGACTGAACATTCAGAAACGCGAAAACTTTGGTGTTTTCTTCAGAAATAACTTTAAGCCTTTTTTACAATTTTTAGAGAGCACTGGTTCATATAAGAACTTAAGAACTTAAGAACTTAAGAAATACGGCTATCATAGGTATCATCAATAAATAATTTTTTTATAAACTAGTTAAAACAAATGATTGATGCTGGTTTCCGTGATATTATGAATCCTCACATACTCAGCCCCCTCACATACTCATATTAAAATCTCCTAATATTACCATTTTGTATTATTTTCTAAGCTGCATATTCTTTCTACATCCGCCATAACTTTATTTCGAAATTGTGTTATAGGAAAAGCAGGGTTCCTATAAACAACAATGAAGGATGTATCGATATATTTGAAGGCAATCGATTGGTATGTAGTTCTTCAGCTCAAAGACTTATTTGTCTCAAACAAAACAACTACATTTTCGGCAATATTTTGCTTGGCATAAATCATAATTCCATTTTTGCCAATACTTTCAATCGATTGCTATAAATTCTTCGTATAATGTCGAAACCTTGTGAAGAAAAGTCTTCGCTGGAAAGAGTCCAAGTTTCGACAAAACAAAGAAAATTTGCAGAACAAATAATAGGGTCGTTGAAAATGTCTTCGCGATGGCTTCGAAGAGACTCAACATTATGGTAATATATGGAGATTTCTTTATTACTGCTGACCACAATTTCATAATGCGTAGTCAAGAACTTTTCCTCTCTTAACTTTTGAAGTTAGTCTTGGACATTTGGTGCTCCAAATCTTGTTGGAGGAACAAAGTCGCTTAAAACTGTTCCGAACTTTTGATCTGGCGATAGCGCCAACCGTGGGTTCAAAAAATTTAATCCAAATTCGCGTCACTAAATTTGAGCCATTCACTAAGCAATGGTCAATTTGCATTAGCTGACCAGTTGCTCCATTTACAAGTCCGTCACTTGTGTCTATATTGACGGTTACCATATATTTAGCAGTTGTTTTGAGATGAAGATTATATGGTAAACCTTGTGTTTCAGAGGTTTTCATATTTTGAGCATATCTTAACGTGTTTTCTCTGTTTCGTGCAGATATGTTTGCAGTTTTCACTGTATCAACAGCAGTGGAAACCAACTCTTCCGTCCCAATTTGCGCTAGTTTTATGGAATTGTAATTGTTAACTTCTTCGTTAGAAGAAAATAAATGAATGGGCATCATCAGGAACTTCGCTGGGTGAAACAACTCTTTGTTTTGGGAGCTCTATATCTGCAATTGTCATGCAAGCCTCAGATAAATGATTCAGGGCTTGAGCAAATGCATGATCGCCTCTTTGGCGCATTATTTCTGTGAGCTCAAAATACATAAAGTTGCTTCATAGTTTAGGGATATAATGATGTCCCTGGAGTAAAACACCAACACTTTGCTTATTCTAGTTTATTTATTTGTTCTGACTAGATCCGCTTCGGATCGCTGCTGGTGTTCGACTGACTCCGCTCTCAACTCGTGATCAGCATCAACCCTCATCACTCGCTTAAAGAGCAATGAGAGCGATGAGAGCACAAGAGAGAGAGAGCCAGTACCGACAACAGGCAACGACACCAACTTACACTAACAACAGTTTACAGTTATGCAATACTAATATATATATACCCTAAGTAGCAATCCTGCTACAATAGGCTATTTCCTGCTAAAACGCTATAAGGATTAATTGTCCTTTCCGAAAATATCCAACTGTCTCCAACTGGGGAAAGCTGCTTTAGATCTCCAAAAACTATAATGGATTTTCCACCAAAACTTATGTCATGAAAATTTGGCGAAGCCTTTGATCCAAAAAAGAAAGCATTTTCGAACCAACCATAGAAGTTTCATCAATTATAATTAATTGGAGATCGATCAACTTGCAATGAATTGTATTTAAACTGTCATTGCTTAAAGGTCTTAAGGGACCTGAATCTTGATTTATTGGAAGAGAAAACACTGAATGCAGTGTCAGTCCTCCAATTCCAAAAGCAGCTTTTCCAGTTGGAGCACATAATAAAACCTTTGCCGAATCCGTAGCACCAGGAAGTTTGTTTGCTCGCCAAGTCACAGACTGATAGATGGTAGAAATCAGTCTGCTTTTTCCTACACCGGCCCCTCCACCAACATATTCGTAAAAAATATTTTTACAAACAACATTATGCATCACATGTGCATAATATTGTCTTTGCTTGTAGTTGAGGGACCGAGTTAGCGGACAAAGGTCATCATTGGAAACTAACGGGGGGAGTCTTATTAATTGAAGTTCGCCGTCTTCTTCAGGGTTATTTATCGCGTTGTCATCCTGAAGAATATTTACGTTCCGCTCTATATTTGGTACTGCCAAAGCTCTAAATTCTTCGTCTAAAAATTGGGAGGCATGTTCTTCCGCAACAGGAGCATCCTATCCTCCTATCCTTATCATCAAACACATCAAACAACTCCATATCATCAAACACATCATAGTTCTTTTTTTTTGTCATAATGGCTTCGTGGTTTGCTCGGAATGTGTTTTCAATGTCATTGGAAAGATGTTCAGCTTCTTCATTTCGCCAAGGATAGAAGAGCATTAAATGCTCTCGGAAATAATCGGAAGGTGAAGAGTTAATGCTAAAGCGAACCCACCTTAGAATCAGGGGATGCCTGCGTTTCTTAACACAACCAGACCCATCCATCAGTGGAAAGCTTTGCTCAGCAACTTCATCTTCGTCATCTACCTCCACATCATTTGCTTCCTCATAGTCTTCCCTATGATTAGCGGCAGATCGTGCATTTCGCTTGACAAATCTGTACCAAGCCGCGAAATCTGCTAAACAAATTCCTTCCAACTGCGCATGCCTTTGCACATATCGGTCAGGAATATTACGCTCAAAAATATCCACCGAGTTGTTTGGTAGTCGCTCTAATTCTTCATTTGAGCGAGTCAATCTAACTCGTTTGTCTGAATGGCAAGTGTTTATAAAAATAGTACCTTCACTTGCCTCCGACATATGCAGACCCAAAATATTGTAAGCTGCTTCTTGGGCCGATATTTCTGTAGCGTTAATAAACTTATTCCCGAGGTGCTGTAATTTCCTTTTAATAGAAATATTCCCATAGCTGGGAATATGGGAAAGATTGAATTCCCCAAAAATATCGGTTTTGAACAATTTCATTAATTGCCGCAACCTATAATCGAAGTACCGGGAGCACGTCACTGGATCGGATCGGATTAACCGAGCCTTTTCGGAGCTGGAAAGAGCTGCCGCTTCTTCCTCGCTTATAGCCCTATTGTCCAATAGAAGGGAAAGGATAACTAAAAGTTCATTCCACTTAGTTTCAGCAGCGGAAAGAGTAATGAAAAAGGTTGGCAACCCAAATTGTCGAATCATAGCAATAACTTTTTTTTCAGCCTCCCAATGAGCTGGTGCAGACCGTAAGCCTTTAAGGATGTGGTAGCCATCATCATGTTGAACAAGTCTGTCAACAAATGACTCATCCCGCAGATTACCAGCGGTAACTGCACCTGACTTTTTGCGTAAAGCAATTGAAATAGAATTTTGAATGCGCTGCATTTCGTAAAATTTATACATGTATAAAACTTTAGGAACTACAGCGCAGCGACGGTCGTAAAAATGGATTTGAGATCTGGCTTATTTTGCATAGGTTGTCTTTCCTTTAAATATTTCTCCGCAAGAAATAGTTGGAAAGGAAAGTTCCTCTGCGTCTTCGTCAAGCGTTAAGCTTGTTGGGCGACGGCCTTCACCCGGTGCCAATGCAATGCGCTGAATTGCAGTATCATTATTTTCCAATAATGTTTCATGGCCTCCGGGATTTAAATTTTCTTCGAGCTCTGCAGCATTTTGGGATAGGTGTTGCTGCTGAAGAAGTTGCTCTACTGCTTCGCGATCAGATTCATCCGCAATAAAAGGAATTTCATTATTTCCTTGAAGTCCTGCTAGCCATGATTCGTTCAGTGAAATGTTGTGCTTTCTGTAGAGCTCGGTATTCACTAAGTACCGTACAGCTTCAAGGACCCGGGTCGAATAGTTTCAGTCATGAAATTGTGAGCATACTCTAGTCTCCTTTTTAAATGGACTTGGATGACATGAGTAGAGTCGAAAGAGCGCGGAAGCGCAGCCACAATATCAGGAACTGAAATTGGAACGTTCACTACTGTCCCTCTGATTCCGCATTGCCTTCCATAGGGAAGGGAAATAATCCTCATAAAAGAAATTCTCGGTGAAATAAGGCGTTCTTCGAGGCAGCTGAGTCCATTTAAGCACTCAGGAATTTCTGGGCACTCAGGCAGAGTGATGGTAGTTTGCCAAGAGAGATGGCACGACAACAAGTGTTGCAAAAGTTATAATTGCCGGACGGACTGGGAAATTTTCGTGACAAATAAAAAGCGTTGCCAACGTTTAGGAGGGGAAATTTAGAGGAGATAGCCAGGATGTATAATCCACTTACCTGCGAACGGAACCATGTTCCTCCACAGCAAATACAAATTTCCGTTGGTCCTTCCCTTATGTTCTTGTGATAAAGATCCCTCGCTGATACTCGAATCCTATTTCACTGTTGTTCTCGTTCCTGTTCCAGTTCGTCCTCCGAAAGTGCAGCTCTTGCGTCCATGTTTCGTTGAGACTGCCTTTGGGAGGCATCCAGTGGATTTTGGGGGTCCATCCTAAAGTTTAACAGTCGATCCTCTGCCATTTGCCGAATTTGTTCTTCCCGAATCCTCCGCTGTTGTCGTGTTTATCCGTTGCTCCTGTGTTCTTGCTATGGGCGTCCCTCTCCCGTTCTCGCTGTCTTTCCTCAGAATCCCTTCGTCGCTGTCGATGCTCCTTTCCTGTTCTCTGGCTCGTTCCTCTGAGTCCTCGCGATGAGCAGCTCGCGCTGCGGCGTCCCGTCCGCTCTGAAATTCGAAATGTCGGATTCGTCCTCCGGGAGGCATGCTCAGCAGTATTTTGCACCTGCTCTCGTCGCCTCTCCTCGGGGTCCTCTCGACGGGTCGCGTGTGCATCCATGTCCCGAATGCGTTCAGGAATTCGAAACTCCGGAATAGTCGTCCGAGTAGAGTGCTTAGCAGTGTTTCGCAACTGCTCTCGTCGTCGCTCCTCGGGCCTTTCTCGACGGATCGCGTGTGCATCCATGTCCCGAATGCGTTCAGGAATGCGAATCTCCGGAATAGTCCTCCGAGTAGAGTGCTTAGCAGTGTTTCGCAACTGCTCTCGTCGTCGCTCCTCGGGGTCCTCTCGACGGTTCGCGTGTGCATCCATGTCCCGAATGCGTTCAGGAATGCGAAACTCCGGAATAGTCCTCCGAGTAGAGTGCTCAGCAGTGTTTCGTAACTGCTCTCGTCGTCGCTCCTCGGGGTCCTCTCGACGAATCGCGTGTGCATCCATGTCCCGAATGCGTTCAGGAATGCGAAACTCCGGAATAGTCCTCCGAGTAGAGTGTTGAGCAGTGTTTCGCAACTGCTCTTGTCTTCGCTCCTCAGAGTCCTGTCGACGGGTTGCGCGTGCCTCCATATCCCGAGTCCGCTCTGAGACACGAGTCCGCTCTGGTCCTGTCGACGATTTGAATGCCTTGCAGCATCCTGAATACGCTCCGCAGAACGGATTACTGGGTTAGTTCTCCGAGACGCATGCTCAGCAGTGTTTCGCAACTGCTCTTGTCTTCGCTCCTCAGAGTCTTGTCGACGGGTTGCGCGTGCCTCCATATCCCGAGTCCGCTCTGAGACACGATAGTCCTGGTCCTGTCGACGATTTGAATGCCTTGCAGCATCCTGAATACGCTCCGCAGAACGGATTACTGGATTAGTCCTCCAAGACGCATGCTCAGCAGTGTTTCGCAACTGCTCTTGTCGGCGCTCCTCAGAGTCCTCCCGACGAATTGAATGCGCTTGTGCGTCCCGAATCCGTTCAAGGTTGCGAACCCTTTCGCTTCTTCTCCGCTGCGCGCGTGCAGTGGAATCCTGAACACGACTTTCCTCCCGTATGTTAGGGTTATTGTCTCGAACATTGGCGATATGTTGGGAGCTCCGAGCTCTTATTTGGGACGCATTCCGTATATAGCGGGCTCTGCTGCGGTTTAAAGCAGCTTGGCGGCGTTGTTCCTGGGATAACCGTGATACGCGTGGCATTTTTTATAGTCCGGTATGAAAAAAAATGAAAGTTATAAAATGTTAGAATATAAAATCACCGACATGGAATGCCGTTCACGGGTATAAGATTTTAAAGAATTAAAAAGTTAATATACTTACCAAAGTTTGTGTTTTTAAGCAATTTTAAGCACGATGTTAACGTTCTATTAATTTTGTATCACTTGTTAAAATACTTTAATTTTTCCCACTGGTAAAAATAACTTTATCACACTTTAAATTTGGCACTTTTAAAAAATACTTCTGCTCTCTTTAAAATTTTTGCACTTGTAAAAATACTGACTGACAGAGTACCGTCATCACTCGGTAAATTTTTTTCATTGACTGATCTAGGGATTGAAGTATTTCTCAATATATGCCAAGCTAGGTAATATCCAAACAAAAAAGAATTATCCTTTGACCCTTTAAAGGTTCCCTAGATTACCCTTTTTAAAAAAGGCAATAAAAATGCATTTTTCCTTTTGTACCTTTGCTACCTGTTGTGCAATTTAGGTGTTTTTCAATAATTTGAGTCTTAATTTGTAGCGTTTTTTTCCACTCTATAAATTGCACTCATACCTGCGTTAAGGGTTGCGAAATTAAGGTCTTTTAAAAAATTGTGACCCCTTGCACGTGTTTATTGAAAATAAACCAAATGACGGTCTACCATATTTTACCTGCTAACCTGGTTAAAATGGGATAATCCCATGGATGCCTTTAGTGTTATCAAAAAGTAAAGGGTTGCGAATGTAAGAATGTAAACTCTGTTGTAATTTTTATGACTGTAACAGTCACTCCCACCATTCTAAAAAGGCCAGACGAAAAAGGGTAGATATGTATGTCTAATTTAAGAGATGTATAGGAATAAAGAATGCATTATATGATTGAATTTGAAGAATATAATTTACAGATTATTCTGCAAGGGTATATAAACTTCGGCTCCGCCCGAAGTTAGCTTTCCTTTCTTTTTTTAAATTTTATTAGCGGTGCTTATCGTAAGGGGTTAGGTTTTACGAAAAATTACATGTTTGTTTATTTCAATCTAATATTTCTCTCAATATCGTATATCCATATTATATATCTTATCCAAAAAATATTTATGGAGCAAAACTGTTTTTTGTGAGACCTTGTCAGAGTGCTACGAAGGAAGTTTCTTAAGCTTCACCGATCTAGCTTTCGATTTAGCTTTCCAAAAATGGAAAAGTTGATTGGTCAGAAATTTTTACACAATTTTCTTGTACCTAGATAAAGATGAATTAGATCAATGGGGGTATAACGCAAAAATGTTTAAAATTTTAGTGTATGCGTAGCAGAGAAAAATAATGAGAGCAAAGGATTCACTGAGCGAAAAAAACGTAGCTTTGTTTTCAATTTTCGTTAATTCAAATGATGTAATGGGCAAAATAGTGGAAATGGAAAAGTTGAAAAATAGTGTATTTTAATTTAAAGAAAGTTTTGCTAGCAACAGTTCTTAAACAAATGAAAAACTACGCTTCCCTATCTATATTTTCTATGGAGAAAACTTGTTCCAAACCTATTTCTAAGAAAAGTTTGGGCTGTCAATATTAGAGCAAATGAGAAAGCTTCTAAAAGTGCTCAATTTTTCAGTGTTCACGCGTGCTATTGAAAATTAGAGTTTGCCCCTCACTGACATAGTTTAAAGATAACATAGATAACATGAAAGAAAAGCTAACTTCGGGCGGAGCCGAAGTTTATATACCCTTGCAATTGAAACCGGATAGATATCGCAAACATATCTATCTATAGTTGGCCGATCCTTATGAGAATATTATATTAAAACCAATTAATTACAACAAAATGTTAAAAAAAAACAGTCACAAGCTTCTATCTTTCAAATACCAAAGTTGGTATTTGTTAGAAATTTTCAGTTATATGGCGTTATATGGCGATAGTTCAGTTATATGGCAGTTATAAGATATAGTCGTCGATCAATATGAAATTTGGTAAGTCGGATTAACTGACCAAAAATATGATCTTTACTAAGTTTCATCTTTCTATCTTAAAAAACACGAGAGTTGGGTCATTTCCGATAGTTCAGTTATATGGCAGCTATAGGTCTACCTCCATGGGCTGAACTTTATTCTGGTCTAAGGTCTCAGGACCCCTGCGCTTTGACCTGTCTGGCTAGAATTGCATCGAAATTCAGCACGGTGTTGTGGGATGTGAGAAGTGACCGAGCGGGACCGCAAATTTTGTCTGTAATGATAACAACGGCCTCGTAGTGGGCTTCGCTGCCGTCGTATTTTTTGAATACTTCGTATGCATCGGATGCAGCCTGCCTCCACGAAACGTACTCATCGTGTCTTCCATTAAACGTCGGCAGAGATTTTACCACGTCTAACTTGACATCGCATTTTATTTCAGGGTTCGGCACTGCTCTTTTATAAACTACCTGCGGCGCTTGCACTGTCAGCGCGCTAACCTGTGTTCTAACCGCTTCTAATTCTGAGGCGAATTGGCCTCTCAAACGCTCTTCCTGAGCAACGAGAGCGGTGCTGACCGCATTTACGACAAACGCTTCGATCATGTCCGCGTTCATTTCTGGTTGATGTATGTTCCTAACTTCGGGGCGAAATCCTACTTCTTCGCTATTGTCGCTATCAATTTCCTGTTTTACTCCTCTATACTCCCAACTCATTGGCAGCTAAGGGGAGCTGTTTAGATACGCAGATACGAGGTTTTTAACGATTGGGACACAAGGCAAAAGGTTTCGATGGGCCACTTTTTTGCGATATAAAAGCCGAAAAAAATTAGCGGAAAATACTGGATCGTTACCTAAAACACAGAAAAAGAGCGAAACAACAGGTATTGGCCAATTCGACTAGGTGTATTATTAGCATAGACACACTGGATAACTTCAGTACAAAATTCAATATATGCACAGTGGATAAAATTGTAGCGAAATACAAGGAGAAAAACGACTGGCAACCTCTAAATGTGTATAGACACCAACCGTAAGAAATAAAATGTTTCTTTGCATAATTAATTCATGTAAATATTTATTGCCTGGGCACCAGTGTGCGTTATTTGAGTTGCATGTTTTTATTTCTGTAACGCACACAAAAAAACCTAAACCAGAAAGTCACTTTTATTTATTCGTAGAAAATTCCTATTGCCGGGCATAGGTATTTATATGCACTGTTATATGTGTAGGTGTGTAAGTGTAGACCTTGGCTATAGGCGCTCAGTTACTTACATATTGTATAACTTCATGGGTGGAGTTCGAATAATAATAGTAATATTAATCCGTTGGGCGTCAATTATTTAATAGTCTGGACCGGCTGGCTATGCCTCCGTGGCAGGGGAAGAGCCGGCTGGTTGAATATCCGTGGCGGGGGTCGGCGGTAGGTTGCTGCCGCTGGTGGCCCTCGTCGCTATAGCTCCAAAAGGGTTGGGTAGTGGTGACCACTAAGGTTGGCAGCCACTGGAGAGTCGGGTGGTCGCTTCGACTTCCTTCCTTCTTCCGAAGTTTACGGTGGGAGATACTTATCACAATAACCAAATTCAATAAGTAGAATAAATTTAACGGCTTAAGCCGGAGTTTTATAATCGAGCTAGTGTTCTTTATTTCAAATCCAAATTAAAACTAAAACTTAAAAATTGACAAAAGCTTATGCCTGGCCGGATGCCCGTGGCAGACCGCTGACCTTGCACATTTTGCAGACAAAGTCACAGCATGCATTGGTACAATATGCTGGCTAAGCTCTCGGGCCCATTAGGATGAAACCAATTTAAGGTGGACAATACAAAAGTGTGTTAATAATAGTAATAATAAAAAATGATTAACATTAATAATGATTAATATTAATGAAGGGGATAAGAATTGGCCTGCTCAACCTACGCTGGGAGTTGGATGTTAACTTATGGTCGGCCGATCCGGGCCATTCCGACTTATATACTGCGTGCAATGGAAAGAAGGGTGTGTGAAAAGTTTTAAGTCGATAGCTTTAAAACTGAAAGACTAGTTCGCGTAGAAACAGACAGACGGAGAAATGTCCTTGTTCTTTACCAGGAAAGAATCTATGTACAATTTATGTTATTTTTATACCCTTGCAGAGGGTATTATAATTTTGTCGAAAAGTGTGCAACGCAGTGAAGGAGACATCTGCGACCCTA